ACATTGAAGTGGTTGGTTTGGTAGACACTGGTTCCGATGTGACAATTATTAAGAACGTCATTTTTAACAAGCTGAGAAAAATTGAACTACAGAAGAGTCACTCCGTGTTGCGTGGTCTGGGCAACGCTACAACAACGCCGTTGGGTTTCTTTATGGGAACTGTTGTCGTTGATGGCCATGAAATACAGCAGAAGATCATCGTCTTGCCAAACAACAAGCTGGAACATGATGCGCTCCTTGGTTTTGACTTCACGTCTAAATTTTGCTGCAAACTTGATGAGAATGGATTTCACTTCTCCTCGCCGTCAGCGCAGCCTAGTAGCGCTGAACAAAACGAGTTAAGTATATATAATGTTGTTGAAGCCGAATCTGATATCCGTTGTCCTCCGCAGTTCAAGCACCTTTTTGAATCATTGATCAAAAACTACCAACCAGAAGCGAGTACAGTTGAGGGTCCTGTGTTTTTGAAGATCGTACCAGATGGGCAGATTACACCGTTTCATCAGCAGCCCAGACGCTTACCTCCGATTGAAAGCGCCGCAGTGAAGACACAAGTTGAACAGTGGATTGACCAAGGCATAGTGCGTGAATCGACATCAAATTTTGCCAGCGGAGTTGTCGTCGTAAAAAAGAAGGACGGTACATTCAGAACCTGCGTCGATTTTAGACAGCTAAACGAAATGGTTTTAAAAGACTGCTTCCCTGTACCTGTGATCGACGATGTACTTGAAACCTTGCAAGCTGCTAAAATGTTTATAGTAATGGACTTGGAAAATAGTTTTTTTCATGTACCTATCGAAGAGCTAAGCCGAAAATACACAGCATTTATAACAAAAGAAGGCCTATACGAATTTAATCGAGCGCCATTCGGATTTTGCAACTCACCAGCTGCGTTCGTGCGTCTTGTTAACTACGTGTTCCAGAAGCTCATAGCTGAAGAAGTAATGCAATTGTACATAGACGACATCATTATCTATGGTCAAACTCCCGATGAATGCATAAAGAAATTTAAGTTGGTGCTAGAAAAGGCAGCGGAGTACAACTTGCGCATAAAGTGGAAAAAGTGTGTTGCATCGGGCTGGTCACGAAGAATAAAAGGTGGCAGCGCTACGGAAGGCGCCAAGAATTTATAAAGGTACTGCAGCGCCATCTAGCGGTACCGAGCGAGGCACCATGGTGGCAACTGCAGCCACGCAGGCGCAGGGTTGTGTCCCGATGGCACCTCAAAGTGGGGAAACGTCAAGGCCGTGATGAACGGATGCGCAAGGACGTAAAAATCCGCAGGCATACGACATCCGGCCTATAAAAGGCAAGCCGCAACACGCCATTCCTGTTTTTTGGGGCGACGGTGCAGACCCACGAGGCAGTGTTTTCTTTTGGTGAACTGGAGGCCGTGCTGAAACCTGCAAAAGGAAAGGAAGAACCAGAAGCCGTTCGAAGGTGAGCATAAGGATATAGATGCAAGGCAGAACTAATGCCGATGTATGCATACCTGTATATCCACTTAAATGTGCCGACCAGTGCTTAAATGCCTTTTGTTCCTTGGCATATAGATTTTCCGGCATATCGCCAAGTTTTCGGACAGCGGTGGAACCATACACAGCAGCTGCAGCGGCCGTCATAAGTAGCAGCACGAGCCGCATCGTAGCAGGAGCAACAGTGACAGCAGCAGATCCAGCACCAGCGTCTTCAACGACAGCAGCAGATCCAGCACCAGCGTTTTCAACGGCAGCAGCAGCAACGACAGTGGCAGCCGGAGCAAAGGCGCCCACCCAAGAAGTAGCAGCAGCAATAGCGGCGCCACCACAACGCAACAGCAGACACGTCCGTCTGCGCCATCAGCAGCGGAGGATAGACAAGCCGGTGAGTCCGTTCCTTGGCCACGCGCCGTGCCTATTGTTCGCGGTTGAGCAGCGACATCAGGCAGAGATCCCGCGCGCCTTACGTCGTGTCGTTTGTATGGGCTGCGCCTGCAGGGTCCCACACGCCGCCCATTGAAGTTTCTGCAAAAGAGAAAAAAAAGGAAGATAAAACAAAATATATATACATAGATCATTAAAACCAAAACGAGGCAGAAAGTGGCACCTAGACAGAGCTTGGCGCTCTATTTAATTAATAAAAAATTCACACTCTTATACACTTATATTGTACGAAGATTGCCAATTGCAGTAGCGCGCAGTGTTTTATATTAGTCTTATATTTCTATTGCGCCCATGACTGTCGAGAGCTCTCGTTAGGATTTGGTTAGACATTTTTCTATAATTTTTTGTACCGCGCATATTTTTATCATACACATACACATATATCTACATACATATTTATTTGCCATAAACATACTTGCATGTTGGCGCACATAAAGAACCGCATTGGCCGTTGGCAAGCCTTCTTTATTTTGTTTTTATATAAAAATTCTTGTTCCATGTTTACATTGTTTGCACTCACACTCAATCACACTGAAATATATGTATGTTTGTAGCCACATAAACTGAAAATTAATTGTTAATTTTAATGGTCGCAACGTTGGTGATGATGCATTAAAGCAGCATCAGTAGGGGCGGGAGACTCACCTTTGCCATGGAATAGCCCAAGCACGGCCCAAATAAAGGGTATCCAAGAAACATTTTGCCTTTGGATACAGGCAGGGTGGGTACGCCTGGGATATCAACAGCTAAATCCCACACAGTTGTCCGATACCACAATTTCTGTCCGTCCGCACGTATATAATCTCCTTTTACAGTCATCCGTATTCGTACGGATGGCTTGAGGGAGTTATCCGTTTATTTGTTTTTTTTGTCGCATTACGTTTCTTTTAGTTTATGTTAGTTTTTTTGGTTTGTTTACGTTTTGAATTCGGTTTTGTATATTGCGCGTCGAATTTATTGTAGTGATGGCATTTTGTTTATCGATGGAGGAACCGTGTTATCGGTTATTGTACGACTCACGCGGGCATAGGGTTGGAACCACATACCCAAGGAGAATTCCGATGAGCCAGCCGGCGTTGCCCAAGAGGAAAAGCGTAGTCGTAACAATATGGCGCCCAACTTGGATGTTTGAATTTTTAATGCCAAGAAGTAGGTGGAGTTGTTTAGGGCCCTGTACCACTTTTGGGGAGGAGTCTAGGCAGCCGCCGTACGCAGGCTGAGAATTTAGATAGGAAAAAAATAAATAAAGCCGATGGCTAGGGGCCGACGATCGGTATGGTAGGGACGGAATCCCTTATAGCACCAACTGCAAGCGGGTGTGACATGGACAGTAAGTCACGAAGGTGCGAGTATGAGCCCTTCGTTTGCGACTGCCATTTGGAACGACGCTAGGCAATGGGTACTATGGGGGGATTCCAATGCGCGTTTTTTTTGTTATTTCGTTTCAGTGTTTTTGTTGTATTTCTTGCGTCAATTCGTTGGTGCACTGTCGCTGTGGTGTCATCGTGTTTGCCTGGTGGACGTAGAGTACCGGTGGCCCAGGATGACTAGGAAAGTCGCCTGCGATGCACCGCTACGCACGGTGAGCCAGAGCAGATGGTGCACAAAACAGAATTGGGTGTCAAGAAGCAACCATTTAATTTGTTGGCTGTCGTTCATCGCCGTCAAGGCGATAAATGTAGCAGCGAACAAATATAGCAGGATTGTGGCGTAGGGCAGCTGTACAGGCGTAGATATTATAGGAGCCGTGTTTGGGTTCCGGCTGAGTGTGAGTCTCAGCCCCTATATACAGAAGTTTAAAAGAAAATTTGTTTGTTTATTGCTTACATTTTATTAGGTCTTTGTGGTTACGTTTGGTGCATATACATATGTTACATTTGTCTTGTGGTTGAGCGTATATTTTTTTTTTTTTGGTTTCCGTGCAAAGTTGGACGTGAATTTATTTAAAGATTTGTTTTTTTATTTTTACTACTGTATTCATATTTATTTATTCCAAATCACATATTTATCTATTTATTGTTGTACCTATTTATTTATTTATTTATCCATCATACATATTCAACGTACATCTACATATTTTCTTGCCCATTTGTTTTTGTTGTTTTGGGCGTTTGCAAACATTTTCATTGTTTGGAATACATATATACAATTATCCAATTAATACGAATTTTTCTTCGGGGCCTGCTTGAAAGCTGAACAAATTCATAATCCAAAATATAAATAAATATTATAAAAAAACAGAGCGTATTTTTTTTGGATTGAAATGGAGAAGGATTCTGCGCGGGCGTATAACACAAGGTCGAGAACTGCCAGAAATGATGATCTGGAGGAACACCTAGAAGGAGCCGTAGGTTTTTCCACCGGTGGCCTCATGCACACTCCTCCGAGGCCGTCCATAGCACCAGCAGTACACTGGGACGCCGAGCCAGTAGTCGCGTCGGTGGTAGAAGCAGCAGTGGCCCAGGCGAACGAAACATACCGCCAATCGCAAAAAGAGGGCATCAACAAAGTGTTGCAGGAGGAAATCCGAATGGGGTTTCAAGACTTGATGGGCGCGTTGAAAGAAGTTTTGCAACCGCGAGCGAATAGCGGCGATTCAGCTGCAAATGGAGCATGGCAACCGCCAGTCAGCCAGAATCGGGGTGCGGTGCCAAAACGGCCGCATCAATACCAGGCTGAACCTCTAACACCAGCAAGAGGAACTTCGCGTCCAGTAGCAAGGCCAGCGGCAGCTAATTCCTCCAGTGGAGCTGGCAATAGCAGCAGCACAGCTCGAAATTGGCAAAATCCCGCAGCACAGTCGGCCCGTCGAAGAGGCAACAGGCGTAACGATGGGAGTGGTCAGCTGGACCCGCCTCCTCCGTATGTAGCGGCGAATGGCAGATCCGGATGGTGCCGCGTTGAAAAGTGGGACATCGTTTTCAGCGGCGATAAGGAAAAAATGGCTGTTGAAGACTTCGTTTTCCAGGTCGAGTTCCTTCAGAGGCAGTGTCGCTGCGCATGGTCCGAAGTATTAAACAGTTTCCATCTGTTAGTAACTGGGCACGCTCGCGAGTGGTACTGGCAATACGTCAGGGACCACCGGGCAGACAGCTGGCCAGAACTAAAACGAAGCATGCTGTCCCGTTTTAAAGGCGCCGCCGATGAATTCGAGCGCATGCGTCAATTGCGCGAAAGACGGCAGAAGGCAAGCGAAAGCGTTGAGGAGTACTTCCATGCCATGAGGAAACTGGCGTCGCGTCTCCACACAGCACCATCTGAAAACGAGATGATGAAATATATAAAAAAAGGATTAAAAATAGAACTAGCTCGTTATGTGTATGCGATGCGCGTGTACACGGTAGACCACTTACGTGACGAATGCGTAGAGGTGGAAGCTATGGTCCAGCGGCGAGAAGGCGTGTTCCCAACACGCAGCGGCACACGTTTTAGTGGCGGAAACCGTCCACCGGCAGTGGAGGAGTTGATCGACGACACTAACGGCGAGGAGTCGGCGGATTTCGGCGTAGTTGAAGAGGCGCGTTTGGCAAGGCGTCCGCAACAGGCGTTAGTTTGCTGGAACTGCAGACAAGCCGGCCATAGTTTCCGCGACTGCATGTCACCGGAAAGGCGCGTCTTCTGTTATAGGTGTGGCAGGCCCGACACCTATAGTCCAACCTGTCCCGATTGCACGGGAAACGGCCGTCGGAGTGCGGAGCAAGTGGGCGAATCGCGCTCGACACAGGTGCCCACCAGGATGACAGCGGAGCGGTCCTGAAAGAAGAATTTCATAAGAAAAATACCCCATATAGTAATAAGTTGAAATTTTTACCGTACGAGGAAAAGATGCGGGCATATCTGGAGGCGCGTAATAGAATTTTTGCCCAACATCAGTTAGATGGGATGAGGATGGTGACAGCCAAAGTTAAAAAGGCCCGAGCACGATTCCGAGTGAGAAGGCAGACGAAGAAGCTGGTAGCCGAGGCAGTGCGACGCGAAGGAGCAGCAGATCCGAGGATTTTTGCCGAAGTACTGGTACGAGGCCACGTGCTACGCGGTTTGCTGGATACCGGGGCCTCGGTAAGCGTGCTAGGCAAGGGCAGTCTGGAACTGCTGAAAGAGATTGGCATGGTGCCCAGAAATTACATTTCGATAATTAAAACAGCAGGCGGTGAAGACAGAGCCGTAATTGGGCGAGTGCGTTTACCAGTGGTGTATCGAGAAGAGGCCAAAGAAATGGAATTTTACGTATGCCCAGCACTCGAACAGAACGCGTATTTCGGCATCGACTTTTGGCGGCTGTTTAATTTAGCACCACTATTAATTCCTCCGGAAAAGCCAGACGTTAAAAGACTTGTCCTCGATGAATTGCTAGCTGATAGAGTGGCGCATTATGCGGACCAGGATGAAGTAAGGCCTGAACCAGATATGTGGAAATTGAATGAACAACAAAAGCTGCAATTGGAACAAGTAAAAAAAGAATTTTTAACCTTCGAAGAAGCGGGATTAGGCAAGACTACTTTGGAGACTCACCGAATTGAATTGGTCAGCGGAGCAGAGCCAGTGAAAGACAGGCACTACCCTCTATCACCCGCTATGCAGAAGATTGTGTGGGATGAGGTGGACAGCATGCTGGCGCTTGGCGTCATCGAGGTAAGCGATAGTCCGTGGAGTAACCGCACCACCATAGTGCGACGGCCGGGCAAGAACCGCTTTTGCCTCGATGCCCGCAAGTTGAACAAACTGACAGTCAAAGATGCCTATCCGCTACCTTGCGTGGAGGGAATCCTATCTGGAATCGATCAGACATATTATATTTCCAGTGTGGACCTGAAATTTGCGTTTTGGCAGGTGGAGTTGGAGGAGTCCAGTAGAAGGTGCACTGCGTTTACGGTACCAGGGCGACCGTTGTACCAATTCCGCATGATGCCTTTCGGGTTGTGTAACGCCGCTCAAAGGTTGTGCCGGCTGATGGACAAGGTTATACCGAATGAACTGAGGTCCAACGTTAAAGTATATCTGGACGATTTGGTAGTATTCGCGGCTGATTTTGATACGCACTTGGAGTACCTGAAGAGAGTAGCTGAATGCCTCAAGAAGGCAAACCTGACGATAGGGTTACAAAAGTCGAAGTTTTGCTTTAAAACGTTGAAATACCTGGGATTTATCGTGGGCGGCGGCGTGCTTCGAACAGATCCAGAACGGGTGCAGGCGATACAGCGCATACAGGTGCCAAGGTCCGTAAAGGAGGTTCGAGCTTTCTTAGGAACCGCCGGGTGGTACAGGCGATTTATTAAAGATTTTGCCACCTTAGCGGCTCCGCTCACTGAGGCTTTGAAAAAGCGATCGGGAGGTAGGTTCTCACTCGGTGGCGAAGCTATTGCAGCATTTGAGGCGTTGAAGAAGGCGCTCACATCTGCGCCAGTGCTGGTACACGCGGATTTTTCACGCCCATTTTTTGTACAATGTGACGCATCCCATATTGGCGTCGGAGCCGTATTATTCCAGGTGGATTTGCAGGGAAACGAGAGGCCCATTGCGTTCTTTTCTGCCAAGATGAACAAGCACCAGGTGAACTACTCGGTGACCGAGAAGGAGTGCTTGGCGGCGGTATTGGCGATACAAAAATTCCGGCCATACATCGAAATGATGCCATTCACGGTCATAACCGATCACGCCAGTTTGAAATGGCTGATGTCCATGAAGGATTTGTCCGGGCGATTGGCTCGTTGGTCGTTGCTGCTCCAGGGCTTCGACTTTGAAATCACGCACCGGAAGGGCTCCGACAACATCGTGGCGGATATGCTGTCCAGAAGCACCGAAGCCGAAACTTTAGAGGAGTTGGATTTCTTCCCAGGAGACCTGTTGGGTATCGAAACCGCAGAATTCGAATCAGAGGAGTATCGGGAGCTGATTAGCGAAATTCAAAGTCAAAAAGATAAATTACCTGATTTAAAAATTGAAAACGGGGTGATCTACAAAAAGACATCCTTTAATCGGCTAGAAGATCAGCTCGAAGGCAGTGTGTGGAAACTGTGGGTTCCGCGTGCGCTAACCGGCATGCTTATATCGAAGGCCCATACCGAAGCGTCAACGCATGGAGGAGTGTTGAAGACGTTGTCCTGGTTGCGGCGGCAGTTTTATTGGCCGGGAATGGCCAAAGACGTTGCGGAAGTGGTCCGAAAATGCGTGGTCTGCAAAGAGACGAAAGCCACCAATTACGGGATGCAGGTGGGAATTGGTGCAGAAGTCGTCACGGAGAGGCCGTTCCAGAAGTTATACATAGACTTCTTGGGCAAGTATCCGCGATCAAGGAAGGGGCACGCCTTCATATTCATAGTGGTAGATCACTTCACCAAATTCACGTTCCTGAAGGCGATGCGAGAGGCCACCACTCGGAGCGTCGTCGACTTCTTGGTGAACGAAGTGTTCCATACGTTCGGCGTTCCAGAAGTCATACACTCCGATAATGGTAAGCAATTCACGTCCAAGCAGTTTACAGACATGATGGAGGGCTACGGTGTTAAGCATCTGCGGACACCGGTGTATTCGCCGCAAAGCAACGCGTCCGAAAGGGTGAACCGGACTATACTGTCCGCGATACGGGCGTATCTGGGGCAGGATCACCGCGAGTGGGATCTACACCTTCCATCAGAAACAGCGTGCATTCTGCGACTGGAGTAACGCCTTTTTTAGCACTATTCGGCCGACATATGATGTTGCACGGTTCGCAGTACCGATTGGCGAGGAAATTAAGGTCCTTAGACGAGCACGAATTCGCAGCGTTGTGTACAGCAGACAGGCAATCCCTGTTGCAACAGAAAATCCAGGCACAATTGCATGCGGCGTATGAGCGCAGTAGCGTTCGCTATAACCGGCGTGCGCGGCGGCTAAGACTAGCGCCCGGTCAGGAGGTATACCGGCGAAACTTTGCATTGAGTGATTTCAGCCGCGCGTTCAATGCGAAATTCGCGCGGAAATTTCTAAAAGCTCGCGTAAGGAAATCCATCGGCACCAACGCATACGAGCTGGAAGATTTGCAAGGGAACTTGCTGGGGGTATTCCACGCAAAGGATATCCGAGTGTGACGCCTGTCCTAAGGCAGAATGGATGAATATAGGGAGGAGGATGCAGCCAGAGCTACTCACCTGAAGATCAAGAGTGGGTGTGGCCTACGTTGGGCGCCGCGGTAGTAGTCATCCGAGGCAACGCCGGACTCGAAGCAGAGGACTCCAACAACACCAGCCGTTTGATGCGCGCAAACATCACTTCGGGGCACGAGCGTCCGCCCACTTGGATATTTGCGGTGGTGTTGCATCGGGCTGGTCACGAAGAATAAAAGGTGGCAGCGCTACGGAAGGCGCCAAGAATTTATAAAGGTACTGCAGCGCCATCTAGCGGTACCGAGCGAGGCACCATGGTGGCAACTGCAGCCACGCAGGCGCAGGGTTGTGTCCCGATGGCACCTCAAAGTGGGGAAACGTCAAGGCCGTGATGAACGGATGCGCAAGGACGTAAAAATCCGCAGGCATACGACATCCGGCCTATAAAAGGCAAGCCGCAACACGCCATTCCTGTTTTTTGGGGCGACGGTGCAGACCCACGAGGCAGTGTTTTCTTTTGGTGAACTGGAGGCCGTGCTGAAACCTGCAAAAGGAAAGGAAGAACCAGAAGCCGTTCGAAGGTGAGCATAAGGATATAGATGCAAGGCAGAACTAATGCCGATGTATGCATACCTGTATATCCACTTAAATGTGCCGACCAGTGCTTAAATGCCTTTTGTTCCTTGGCATATAGATTTTCCGGCATATCGCCAAGTTTTCGGACAGCGGTGGAACCATACACAGCAGCTGCAGCGGCCGTCATAAGTAGCAGCACGAGCCGCATCGTAGCAGGAGCAACAGTGACAGCAGCAGATCCAGCACCAGCGTCTTCAACGACAGCAGCAGATCCAGCACCAGCGTTTTCAACGGCAGCAGCAGCAACGACAGTGGCAGCCGGAGCAAAGGCGCCCACCCAAGAAGTAGCAGCAGCAATAGCGGCGCCACCACAACGCAACAGCAGACACGTCCGTCTGCGCCATCAGCAGCGGAGGATAGACAAGCCGGTGAGTCCGTTCCTTGGCCACGCGCCGTGCCTATTGTTCGCGGTTGAGCAGCGACATCAGGCAGAGATCCCGCGCGCCTTACGTCGTGTCGTTTGTATGGGCTGCGCCTGCAGGGTCCCACACGCCGCCCATTGAAGTTTCTGCAAAAGAGAAAAAAAAGGAAGATAAAACAAAATATATATACATAGATCATTAAAACCAAAACGAGGCAGAAAGTGGCACCTAGACAGAGCTTGGCGCTCTATTTAATTAATAAAAAATTCACACTCTTATACACTTATATTGTACGAAGATTGCCAATTGCAGTAGCGCGCAGTGTTTTATATTAGTCTTATATTTCTATTGCGCCCATGACTGTCGAGAGCTCTCGTTAGGATTTGGTTAGACATTTTTCTATAATTTTTTGTACCGCGCATATTTTTATCATACACATACACATATATCTACATACATATTTATTTGCCATAAACATACTTGCATGTTGGCGCACATAAAGAACCGCATTGGCCGTTGGCAAGCCTTCTTTATTTTGTTTTTATATAAAAATTCTTGTTCCATGTTTACATTGTTTGCACTCACACTCAATCACACTGAAATATATGTATGTTTGTAGCCACATAAACTGAAAATTAATTGTTAATTTTAATGGTCGCAACGTTGGTGATGATGCATTAAAGCAGCATCAGTAGGGGCGGGAGACTCACCTTTGCCATGGAATAGCCCAAGCACGGCCCAAATAAAGGGTATCCAAGAAACATTTTGCCTTTGGATACAGGCAGGGTGGGTACGCCTGGGATATCAACAGCTAAATCCCACACAGTTGTCCGATACCACAATTTCTGTCCGTCCGCACGTATATAATCTCCTTTTACAGTCATCCGTATTCGTACGGATGGCTTGAGGGAGTTATCCGTTTATTTGTTTTTTTTGTCGCATTACGTTTCTTTTAGTTTATGTTAGTTTTTTTGGTTTGTTTACGTTTTGAATTCGGTTTTGTATATTGCGCGTCGAATTTATTGTAGTGATGGCATTTTGTTTATCGATGGAGGAACCGTGTTATCGGTTATTGTACGACTCACGCGGGCATAGGGTTGGAACCACACACCCAAGGAGAATTCCGATGAGCCAGCCGGCGTTGCCCAAGAGGAAAAGCGTAGTCGTAACAATATGGCGCCCAACTTGGATGTTTGAATTTTTAATGCCAAGAAGTAGGTGGAGTTGTTTAGGGCCCTGTACCACTTTTGGGGAGGAGTCTAGGCAGCCGCCGTACGCAGGCTGAGAATTTAGATAGGAAAAAAATAAATAAAGCCGATGGCTAGGGGCCGACGATCGGTATGGTAGGGACGGAATCCCTTATAGCACCAACTGCAAGCGGGTGTGACATGGACAGTAAGTCACGAAGGTGCGAGTATGAGCCCTTCGTTTGCGACTGCCATTTGGAACGACGCTAGGCAATGGGTACTATGGGGGGATTCCAATGCGCGTTTTTTTGTTATTTCGTTTCAGTGTTTTTGTTGTATTTCTTGCGTCAATTCGTTGGTGCACTGTCGCTGTGGTGTCATCGTGTTTGCCTGGTGGACGTAGAGTACCGGTGGCCCAGGATGACTAGGAAAGTCGCCTGCGATGCACCGCTACGCACGGTGAGCCAGAGCAGATGGTGCACAAAACAGAATTGGGTGTCAAGAAGCAACCATTTAATTTGTTGGCTGTCGTTCATCGCCGTCAAGGCGATAAATGTAGCAGCGAACAAATATAGCAGGATTGTGGCGTAGGGCAGCTGTACAGGCGTAGATATTATAGGAGCCGTGTTTGGGTTCCGGCTGAGTGTGAGTCTCAGCCCCTATATACAGAAGTTTAAAAGAAAATTTGTTTGTTTATTGCTTACATTTTATTAGGTCTTTGTGGTTACGTTTGGTGCATATACATATGTTACATTTGTCTTGTGGTTGAGCGTATATTTTTTTTTTTTTTGGTTTCCGTGCAAAGCTGGACGTGAATTTATTTAAAGATTTGTTTTTTTATTTTTACTACTGTATTCATATTTATTTATTCCAAATCACATATTTATCTATTTATTGTTGTACCTATTTATTTATTTATTTATCCATCATACATATTCAACGTACATCTACATATTTTCTTGCCCATTTGTTTTTGTTGTTTTGGGCGTTTGCAAACATTTTCATTGTTTGGAATACATATATACAATTATCCAATTAATACGAATTTTTCTTCGGGGCCTGCTTGAAAGCTGAACAAATTCATAATCCAAAATATAAATAAATATTATAAAAAAACAGAGCGTATTTTTTTTGGATTGAAATGGAGAAGGATTCTGCGCGGGCGTATAACACAAGGTCGAGAACTGCCAGAAATGATGATCTGGAGGAACACCTAGAAGGAGCCGTAGGTTTTTCCACCGGTGGCCTCATGCACACTCCTCCGAGGCTGTCCATAGCACCAGCAGTACACTGGGACGCCGAGCCAGTAGTCGCGTCGGTGGTAGAAGCAGCAGTGGCCCAGGCGAACGAAACATACCGCCAATCGCAAAAAGAGGGCATCAACAAAGTGTTGCAGGAGGAAATCCGAATGGGGTTTCAAGACTTGATGGGCGCGTTGAAAGAAGTTTTGCAACCGCGAGCGAATAGCGGCGATTCAGCTGCAAATGGAGCATGGCAACCGCCAGTCAGCCAGAATCGGGGTGCGGTGCCAAAACGGCCGCATCAATACCAGGCTGAACCTCTAACACCAGCAAGAGGAACTTCGCGTCCAGTAGCAAGGCCAGCGGCAGCTAATTCCTCCAGTGGAGCTGGCAATAGCAGCAGCACAGCTCGAAATTGGCAAAATCCCGCAGCACAGTCGGCCCGTCGAAGAGGCAACAGGCGTAACGATGGGAGTGGTCAGCTGGACCCGCCTCCTCCGTATGTAGCGGCGAATGGCAGATCCGGATGGTGCCGCGTTGAAAAGTGGGACATCGTTTTCAGCGGCGATAAGGAAAAAATGGCTGTTGAAGACTTCGTTTTCCAGGTCGAGTTCCTTCAGAGGCAGTGTCGCTGCGCATGGTCCGAAGTATTAAACAGTTTCCATCTGTTAGTAACTGGGCACGCTCGCGAGTGGTACTGGCAATACGTCAGGGACCACCGGGCAGACAGCTGGCCAGAACTAAAACGAAGCATGCTGTCCCGTTTTAAAGGCGCCGCCGATGAATTCGAGCGCATGCGTCAATTGCGCGAAAGACGGCAGAAGGCAAGCGAAAGCGTTGAGGAGTACTTCCATGCCATGAGGAAACTGGCGTCGCGTCTCCACACAGCACCATCTGAAAACGAGATGATGAAATATATAAAAAAAGGATTAAAAATAGAACTAGCTCGTTATGTGTATGCGATGCGCGTGTACACGGTAGACCACTTACGTGACGAATGCGTAGAGGTGGAAGCTATGGTCCAGCGGCGAGAAGGCGTGTTCCCAACACGCAGCGGCACACGTTTTAGTGGCGGAAACCGTCCACCGGCAGTGGAGGAGTTGATCGACGACACTAACGGCGAGGAGTCGGCGGATTTCGGCGTAGTTGAAGAGGCGCGTTTGGCAAGGCGTCCGCAACAGGCGTTAGTTTGCTGGAACTGCAGACAAGCCGGCCATAGTTTCCGCGACTGCATGTCACCGGAAAGGCGCGTCTTCTGTTATAGGTGTGGCAGGCCCGACACCTATAGTCCAACCTGTCCCGATTGCACGGGAAACGGCCGTCGGAGTGCGGAGCAAGTGGGCGAATCGCGCTCGACACAGGTGCCCACCAGGATGACAGCGGAGCGGTCCTGAAAGAAGAATTTCATAAGAAAAATACCCCATATAGTAATAAGTTGAAATTTTTACCGTACGAGGAAAAGATGCGGGCATATCTGGAGGCGCGTAATAGAATTTTTGCCCAACATCAGTTAGATGGGATGAGGATGGTGACAGCCAAAGTTAAAAAGGCCCGAGCACGATTCCGAGTGAGAAGGCAGACGAAGAAGCTGGTAGCCGAGGCAGTGCGACGCGAAGGAGCAGCAGATCCGAGGATTTTTGCCGAAGTACTGGTACGAGGCCACGTGCTACGCGGTTTGCTGGATACCGGGGCCTCGGTAAGCGTGCTAGGCAAGGGCAGTCTGGAACTGCTGAAAGAGATGGGCATGGTGCCCAGAAATTACATTTCGATAATTAAAACAGCAGGCGGTGAAGACAGAGCCGTAATTGGGCGAGTGCGTTTACCAGTGGTGTATCGAGAAGAGGCCAAAGAAATGGAATTTTACGTATGCCCAGCACTCGAACAGAACGCGTATTTCGGCATCGACTTTTGGCGGCTGTTTAATTTGGCACCACTATTAATTCCTCCGGAAAAGCCAGACGTTAAAAGACTTGTCCTCGATGAATTGCTAGCTGATAGAGTGGCGCATTATGCGGACCAGGATGAAGTAAGGCCTGAACCAGATATGTGGAAATTGAATGAACAACAAAAGCTGCAATTGGAACAAGTAAAAAAAGAATTTTTAACCTTCGAAGAAGCGGGATTAGGCAAGACTACTTTGGAGACTCACCGAATTGAATTGGTCAGCGGAGCAGAGCCAGTGAAAGACAGGCACTACCCTCTATCACCCGCTATGCAGAAGATTGTGTGGGATGAGGTGGACAGCATGCTGGCGCTTGGCGTCATCGAGGTAAGCGATAGTCCGTGGAGTAACCGCACCACCATAGTGCGACGGCCGGGCAAGAACCGCTTTTGCCTCGATGCCCGCAAGTTGAACAAACTGACAGTCAAAGATGCCTATCCGCTACCTTGCGTGGAGGGAATCCTATCTGGAATCGATCAGACATATTATATTTCCAGTGTGGACCTGAAATTTGCGTTTTGGCAGGTGGAGTTGGAGGAGTCCAGTAGAAGGTGCACTGCGTTTACGGTACCAGGGCGACCGTTGTACCAATTCCGCATGATGCCTTTCGGGTTGTGTAACGCCGCTCAAAGGTTGTGCCGGCTGATGGACAAGGTTATACCGAATGAACTGAGGTCCAACGTTAAAGTATATCTGGACGATTTGGTAGTATTCGCGGCTGATTTTGATACGCACTTGGAGTACCTGAAGAGAGTAGCTGAATGCCTCAAGAAGGCAAACCTGACGATAGGGTTACAAAAGTCGAAGTTTTGCTTTAAAACGTTGAAATACCTGGGATTTATCGTGGGCGGGCGGCGTGCTTCGAACAGATCCAGAACGGGTGCAGGCGATACAGCGCATACAGGTGCCAAGGTCCGTAAAGGAGGTTCGAGCTTTCTTAGGAACCGCCGGGTGGTACAGGCGATTTATTAAAGATTTTGCCACCTTAGCGGCTCCGCTCACTGAGGCTTTGAAAAAGCGATCGGGAGGTAGGTTCTCACTCGGTGGCGAAGCTATTGCAGCATTTGAGGCGTTGAAGAAGGCGCTCACATCTGCGCCAGTGCTGGTACACGCGGATTTTTCACGCCCATTTTTTGTACAATGTGACGCATCCCATATTGGCGTCGGAGCCGTATTATTCCAGGTGGATTTGCAGGGAAACGAGAGGCCCATTGCGTTCTTTTCTGCCAAGATGAACAAGCACCAGGTGAACTACTCGGTGACCGAGAAGGAGTGCTTGGCGGCGGTATTGGCGATACAAAAATTCCGGCCATACATCGAAATGATGCCATTCACGGTCATAACCGATCACGCCAGTTTGAAATGGCTGATGTCCATGAAGGATTTGTCCGGGCGATTGGCTCGTTGGTCGTTGCTGCTCCAGGGCTTCGACTTTGAAATCACGCACCGGAAGGGCTCCGACAACATCGTGGCGGATATGCTGTCCAGAAGCACCGAAGCCGAAACTTTAGAGGAGTTGGATTTCTTCCCAGGAGACCTGTTGGGTATCGAAACCGCAGAATTCGAGTCAGAGGAGTATCGGGAGCTGATTAGCGAAATTCAAAGTCAAAAAGATAAATTACCTGATTTAAAAATTGAAAACGGGGTGATCTACAAAAAGACATCCTTTAATCGGCTAGAAGATCAGCTCGAAGGCAGTGTGTGGAAACTGTGGGTTCCGCGTGCGCTAACCGGCATGCTTATATCGAAGGCCCATACCGAAGCGTCAACGCATGGAGGAGTGTTGAAGACGTTGTCCTGGTTGCGGCGGCAGTTTTATTGGCCGGGAATGGCCAAAGACGTTGCGGAAGTGGTCCGAAAATGCGTGGTCTGCAAAGAGACGAAAGCCACCAATTACGGGATGCAGGTGGGAATTGGTGCAGAAGTCGTCACGGAGAGGCCGTTCCAGAAGTTATACATAGACTTCTTGGGCAAGTATCCGCGATCAAGGAAGGGGCACGCCTTCATATTCATAGTGGTAGATCACTTCACCAAATTCACGTTCCTGAAGGCGATGCGAGAGGCCACCACTCGGAGCGTCGTCGACTTCTTGGTGAACGAAGTGTTCCATACGTTCGGCGTTCCAGAAGTCATACACTCCGATAATGGTAAGCAATTCACGTCCAAGCAGTTTACAGACATGATGGAGGGCTACGGTGTTAAGCATCTGCGGACACCGGTGTATTCGCCGCAAAGCAACGCGTCCGAAAGGGTGAACCGGACTATACTGTCCGCGATACGGGCGTATCTGGGGCAGGATCACCGCGAGTGGGATCTACACCTTCCGGAAATTGAAGTGGCCATCAGAAACAGCGTGCATTCTGCGACTGGAGTAACGCCTTTTTTTCGCACTATTCGGCCGACATATGATGTTGCACGGTTCGCAGTACCGATTGGCGAGGAAATTAAGGTCCTTAGACGAGCACGAATTCGCAGCGTTGTGTACAGCAGACAGGCAATCCCTGTTGCAACAGAAAATCCAGGCACAATTGCATGCGGCGTATGAGCGCAGTAGCGTTCGCTATAACCGGCGTGCGCGGCGGCTAAGACTAGCGCCCGGTCAGGAGGTATACCGGCGAAACTTTGCATTGAGTGATTTCAGCCGCGCGTTCAATGCGAAATTCGCGCGGAAATTTCTAAAAGCTCGCGTAAGGAAATCCATCGGCACCAACGCATACGAGCTGGAAGATTTGCAAGGGAACTTGCTGGGGGTATTCCACGCAAAGGATATCCGAGTGTGACGCCTGTCCTAAGGCAGAATGGATGAATATAGGGAGGAGGATGCAGCCAGAGCTACTCACCTGAAGATCAAGAGTGGGTGTGGCCTACGTTGGGCGCCGCGGTAGTAGTCATCCGAGGCAACGCCGGACTCGAAGCAGAGGACTCCAACAACACCAGCCGTTTGATGCGCGCAAACATCACTTCGGGGCACGAGCGTCCGCCCACTTGGATATTTGCGGTGGTGTTGCATCGGGCTGGTCACGAAGAATAAAAGGTGGCAGCGCTACGGAAGGCGCCAAGAATTTATAAAGGTACTGCAGCGCCATCTAGCGGTACCGAGCGAGGCACCATGGTGGCAACTGCAGCCACGCAGGCGCAGGGTTGTGTCCCGATGGCACCTCAAAGTGGGGAAACGTCAAGGCCGTGATGAACGGATGCGCAAGGACGTAAAAATCCGCAGGCATACGACATCCGGCCTATAAAAGGCAAGCCGCAACACGCCATTCCTGTTTTTTGGGGCGACGGTGCAGACCCACGAGGCAGTGTTTTCTTTTGGTGAACTGGAGGCCGTGCTGAAACCTGCAAAAGGAAAGGAAGAACCAGAAGCCGTTCGAAGGTGAGCATAAGGATATAGATGCAAGGCAGAACTAATGCCGATGTATGCATACCTGTATATCCACTTAAATGTGCCGACCAGTGCTTAAATGCCTTTTGTTCCTTGGCATATAGATTTTCCGGCATATCGCCAAGTTTTCGGACAGCGGTGGAACCATACACAGCAGCTGCAGCGGCCGTCATAAGTAGCAGCACGAGCCGCATCGTAGCAGGAGCAACAGTGACAGCAGCAGATCCAGCACCAGCGTCTTCAACGACAGCAGCAGATCCAGCACCAGCGTTTTCAACGGCAGCAGCAGCAACGACAGTGGCAGCCGGAGCAAAGGCGCCCACCCAAGAAGTAGCAGCAGCAATAGCGGCGCCACCACAACGCAACAGCAGACACGTCCGTCTGCGCCATCAGCAGCGGAGGATAGACAAGCCGGTGAGTCCGTTCCTTGGCCACGCGCCGTGCCTATTGTTCGCGGTTGAGCAGCGACATCAGGCAGAGATCCCGCGCGCCTTACGTCGTGTCGTTTGTATGGGCTGCGCCTGCAGGGTCCCACACGCCGCCCATTGAAGTTTCTGCAAAAGAGAAAAAAAAGGAAGATAAAACAAAATATATATACATAGATCATTAAAACCAAAACGAGGCAGAAAGTGGCACCTAGACAGAGCTTGGCGCTCTATTTAATTAATAAAAAATTCACACTCTTATACACTTATATTGTACGAAGATTGCCAATTGCAGTAGCGCGCAGTGTTTTATATTAGTCTTATATTTCTATTGCGCCCATGACTGTCGAGAGCTCTCGTTAGGATTTGGTTAGACATTTTTCTATAATTTTTTGTACCGCGCATATTTTTATCATACACATACACATATATCTACATACATATTTATTTGCCATAAACATACTTGCATGTTGGCGCACATAAAGAACCGCATTGGCCGTTGGCAAGCCTTCTTTATTTTGTTTTTATATAAAAATTCTTGTTCCATGTTTACATTGTTTGCACTCACACTCAATCACACTGAAATATATGTATGTTTGTAGCCACATAAACTGAAAATTAATTGTTAATTTTAATGGTCGCAACGTTGGTGATGATGCATTAAAGCAGCATCAGTAGGGGCGGGAGACTCACCTTTGCCATGGAATAGCCCAAGCACGGCCCAAATAAAGGGTATCCAAGAAACATTTTGCCTTTGGATACAGGCAGGGTGGGTACGCCTGGGATATCAACAGCTAAATCCCACACAGTTGTCCGATACCACAATTTCTGTCCGTCCGCACGTATATAATCTCCTTTTACAGTCATCCGTATTCGTACGGATGGCTTGAGGGAGTTATCCGTTTATTTGTTTTTTTTGTCGCATTACGTTTCTTTTAGTTTATGTTAGTTTTTTTGGTTTGTTTACGTTTTGAATTCGGTTTTGTATATTGCGCGTCGAATTTATTGTAGTGATGGCATTTTGTTTATCGATGGAGGAACCGTGTTATCGGTTATTGTACGACTCACGCGGGCATAGGGTTGGAACCACACACCCAAGGAGAATTCCGATGAGCCAGCCGGCGTTGCCCAAGAGGAAAAGCGTAGTCGTAACAATATGGCGCCCAACTTGGATGTTTGAATTTTAATGCCAAGAAGTAGGTGGAGTTGTTTAGGGCCCTGTACCACTTTTGGGGAGGAGTCTAGGCAGCCGCCGTACGCAGGCTGAGAATTTAGATAGGAAAAAAATAAATAAAGCCGATGGCTAGGGGCCGACGATCGGTATGGTAGGGACGGAATCCCTTATAGCACCAACTGCAAGCGGGTGTGGACATGGACAGTAAGTCACGAAGGTGCGAGTATGAGCCCTTCGTTTGCGACTGCCATTTGGAACGACGCTAGGCAATGGGTACTATGGGGGGATTCCAATGCGCGTTTTTTTTGTATTTCGTTTCAGTGTTTTTGTTGTATTTCTTGCGTCAATTCGTTGGTGCACTGTCGCTGTGGTGTCATCGTGTTTGCCTGGTGGACGTAGAGTACCGGTGGCCCAGGATGACTAGGAAAGTCGCCTGCGATGCACCGCTACGCACGGTGAGCCAGAGCAGATGGTGCACAAAACAGAATTGGGTGTCAAGAAGCAACCATTTAATTTGTTGGCTGTCGTTCATCGCCGTCAAGGCGATAAATGTAGCAGCGAACAAATATAGCAGGATTGTGGCGTAGGGCAGCTGTACAGGCGTAGATATTATAGGAGCCGTGTTTGGGTTCCGGCTGAGTGTGAGTCTCAGCCCTATATACAGAAGTTTAAAAGAAAATTTGTTTGTTTATTGCTTACATTTATTAGGTCTTTGTGGTTACGTTTGGTGCATATACATATGTTACATTTGTCTTGTGGTTGAGCGTATATTTT